AAATTATGTTAACAAAGATCTCATCGCGCTTATCACTAGTTGCTATCCGTATTTATTTTTCAATTACTATAATATAGGTTAACGTGTATAAATTACGGGATAAACATGACCTGTCGTTGCCAAAACGTTTTTTTATTGTTCACATTCAATGAAATTCTATACCTGTTTAGCACTAAACACCCAAATGTAATAAATGTAAACTTATGGCAGTACCAGCAGTTCTTTTTCTGTGGATTAGAAAAAGCAATATACTGCCAACAACAATTTGAATTTTTAAATTCAAGTGGTTTTTTTTTTTTAATAAAATGATTTATTGCCTTTTTCACGACGGTGTCGCGTTCATGATCGCCTACCGCATACGCTTTTTTTTATAATAATAAATAACAACCATTTGACTACAACACGGATACATCTTATGCATTACTCGTTCTTGGATAAATTATGGTAAAACAAATAAGACAAATCAATTACATTATAATAAATTTATTTACAATAATAACGTTTTTCAATTGAAAATATGACAAGCCAATATTTCACTGTACATTTATATTATTATATGTGATTCAGTTTAGTTAAGTGTAAGCCAAGTCTTTTAGATATAAATAATATAAACATTATTTTATCAAAATTAATAACTAAAAGCCGTACGATTGAAAGCTACCAATTATCATACTTCTACATAGTATTTAAATACATTTTTAAAATAGTTATTGTTAAAAACACTCAGGTATTAACATTAAATAAGTTGTTTACAAGAAATCTATTCGTATCTGGATTATAAAAAAAGTTGCCGATATTAACAAAATACAGATTAGATACAATCATGATTTTGAATTTTGTTTTAGTATTAGTTATTATTCATAGTGATTGTTCAATAAAAATGTACAACATGAATATAAAAAATTGATGAAAATGTTTTAACAACACTTTAATAATCTCGTCATGTCTCGTCAAATAACCCTATAGATTAGATCGTTATAGATTCTTTTTTTGTGTTTCGACAATCGTATCTAGAATTATTTTAAAATAATATAAAATATGGATATCTAACAATAATGGGTAGGCACTAGTCACAAAACACAATGATTATGACTAACAGCAGTGACTTACACGTTACAGCTATCCATTATTATTAGGTATTTAAGATTTAAGGGTTGCTTGTATGTAGTAAAACTGACAATTATGTTATTTGTTTGCCGTTGTGATATTTTTAGTGAGTAACTAGTTAATCGAACGAAGTAAACTTAAATCATAAACTAATTATTACACTATACACTTTTATGAAAGAGACCGTAACAATATATTTAATATACAAGCTATGAATATTAGAAATAATAAGTTCATTATATTATGGTTGGTGGAGCGTAGCTTAGTGGTCAGAGCACTCGACCGGCAATACTTGTTAGTAACTACTATTAACTACTATAGTTGGACAGTGTTGCAAATTTTTGAGTTTTTTTTCAACTACGAAATTTCTAAAACATTCGTGTTAAACTTGTCCAACTCGATATGTGTATATACTTCTAACGTTATAAAAATACATTTTTTCCGGAAGTCAATCGCGGTTAAGTAAATATACACGACTAAGCCGTTACAATAAACATAATTAACTATATATTAGGTCATTTGATGCGAGTCAATCAATTAACGGATAAAACGTTTAAACGGTTAGCTATGCTTGTGTGTGTGTCAAACAGCGTCCATTCAAAAATATATCGTCTGTGGTTCGGAACCACCGTGGTTTTTTTTCAAGACGTCGGAATTCGAACCACTTATTATATATATTTTATATGTACATATATATATTATTAGTATACACCGGCCGGAGCAAACGATCGACGAGCCAGTGGGTCAACCGAGACGGGGTACCGTTGGAAAATCTGTAGATCGAATCGACGAGGTTTTCCTGTTTGTACCCCAATGTTTTATTATTTCTCCTATACAGTATTGTTATTCTGAATGACGTGCGGGTACAATGGCGCCTGAAGGGCGAACAAGTTTTTGCGCGCGCGAGCAATATTATAATATTTTTAATTATAACTGTTTAATGATAAACTTGAAAAAAAAAATCCAATTCGATAATCGAAATTTATAGTTTTTTTTTTTTAATGGCACTTTGTATGTTCATTTTTTTTAACGTTTAAATTTATAGTTGTACCGTTCAAAAATATTAATAACGAAAAAAAACTGCTTGCGGACAAAGTATTGGTTTTATTTTTTAAGTGTAATATTATTTTATATAATTCATGTATGTGTGACACTGCACTGGTACATGATAATTATTTTGACATCAATTCGAATTCACCGAATCGAGTTTCACCGCAGCCCGGGGATAAAATATTGTTATAACTTATAACGTACATACGATTGATATAGTAGATAAAAAAATAATGTTTTGTTACTACCGCAGACATGTGTGTGTGTGTACACTCAGTGTCTCCGGAGGCGATCATCTAAAACTCGTGTAGTATAGATAGAGGTACATATCGCCGGCGTGCGTGCTTATCCACCATAATATAAGAATTGGAATACAGTGGTTACACCTCGGCTCTCCTCAAGTACACACTCACACACGAGACGCTTGTGACCGGGTGGATAGCGTTACTAAAATTCCATGCCGGACCCCCGACTTCCCTCCCTCCGCGGCCGCACGTTGTCTTCCCCGATCGCCTAACCTGACCAGTTATGTCGTACAATAATAAATATATATATATTTTTTTATATTATTATTATTATTATTATTTTACAGTCCCCTAATGGTCTCGAGTGACTAGTCCGAAAAAAAAACAACACACACACTATGATGCAGCCGGTATGTATGTACATATTATGTATATAACGTACCCACGCGTACGGTCGGGCATGTTTCGGCCACCGACTGACCTAGATTGTTTCCTGTCGTTTTCGACGGGGATTAGCTTAAATAAAAACAATTTGTGTACGATAATGATTTATATTGTTTGTCACTAATAATATACGTTTTTTGACGAAATCGAAACAAAAAACCGTTAACACCCTAGACGCGCAATTGATCACTGTGCCAATCTATGTGGGCGTTTATGAATTCCACGTGTACCTGTACATTGTATGCGTATAGACAACCGCCAAATGGACTGGTCGCGCGTTTCAACCGTTTCGCCTTGTATATAGGTTTGACATTTAACCAATTTGAATGTCGATGCCCCCGTGACCCGGTCCAAAAAAACATAAACACGCAGACAAAAACAACCGCTTTGGTCTTATCTCGCTCGGGACGCACGACGGCCAATCGAGTTTAGCGAGAGATTTTAATACCGCACAGGAGTTAAAACGGCATTATCATTCCGTGAACAAAATTTCTCTACTTCATCGGGTAACACTAAAATAATAATTATCATAATTGAGTCAAAAATAAAACCGGTGCAATAAAAACGAAATTCTGGTTGAAATGTCTAAAGTTGTACCTTATGATACGAGACTTTTATTTATAAATCGATTAGATCACCGGGATAATATTCAATATATTTCACGTGTATAATAATCATATATACCTAATTATATAATAATAATAATATCTCAAATACGATATATTGTATAAATTTCAGCATAAAAGTAAAAATGATTTGTGAAAATTTACGGTTTGCATAAAACCTATACAACAACAATAATCATTATTATTGTACCAAAATTATTTTTTCAATGACGCGAATTTGCACAGGTCCGGACTTTGGTCGTTAAAATAAACAAACTTAGGGGAACTTATCGCTAGGACCCGGTTTGGAAATGTATTTACAACAATATTATGTGCGTGGACAATGCCGGAAACGTTCTTAAACGCGACAATACAATATTATAACAGCCGTGCAAATGATTTACGCGTTATGCTTGTTTGACGAATTCTAGAACAAATAATACAACATTATACACTATAATATAGTGTACTATTTGTTTATTAATATGTTTCAGCAGACCCAGATTAAGCCCCTTGGGCACTACGGTCCTAGATTTAGGTAAACCGTATATATGTAGTATTATACATACACAAGGAATATCATTAATAATATTAAAAAATATCAAATTACATATTAATAACACATGGAATACCTGCGCTCTAGTCACTTGTGTTTTCATAACTTATTTATAAGATTAATAATTGTGCCAAAGTTTTGTAGTATAACTCTCGACACGATTAATTTATATTTTTCTTTATTATTAAAAAAACGTACCTCGTCTAATGTGAATTAATATAAGGGCATCTCCCAAAGTCGGGACCCTCGGCCGTGGTCTGCGTTACTGCCGTGTAGTAGTAGGTCCTGTGTTGCTAGGCCCTAGGCACATTGCCTGTAGTGGTTAACGATTAGCTGCGCTGTGTTTATTCCCGCTCAATGTCATCTTCATTGATAAAATACTACATACATCATATTTTTAGTAAATACCTATTTTCAGAATGTTAATAAGCTGAAAACTCCAATAATTACACTTGAAATTTTGATCAGTGCAAAATATATATTTATTCTGGGACGGATGTTTAATTATTTCCTACATTTATGAATATAAATTATCTACGGATTTGGGCGTGGTATTAGCTTTTCGGGCTATGACAAAGCGCAATATAGGAAAGAGTGAGCGACGATTATTATTGCAAATGCACAATAAAACAGCTATCGTATCGAAGCTAATATCGTGATGAAGTATGCGTTCCTTTCGTACTCGACGGGTATGACGCGACAGTCCTCTGCGTTTGGAGAAAAGCGGAAGACTACAGTGTTTCAACTCTTAAAGACCGAATACACTAATACACTAGGTACTATATACTTTAGTACCTACATTATGACTAACGCGATAGTAATAATATTATGCGACATATCTTGTTGAATTTATGTTTCCCGATTATTATCGAGCGCGCGTACAATTATTATTATATGATGAAATCCGGCGTGTTATAATAATTTTTGGTTGTAAACTATTGAAAAACACTATTACATTATTATAATATGTACATGTTTTTATTTCTTTTACAGCTGGCCGAGTCATGTGGAACAAATCGTCATGCGTAAAAACGTTAAATCAACGTGACTGTCGGCCATCGAACGTTGTTGCTGGTGAGCGTTTAAAAAATTTGACACACTAATAGTTTTTTTTTTTCGCATAAAATAGATGTATGAATACACACAATAATATATACGTAGGTGTACGCATAACGCATTTGACTTTTATACTTAAAAAAACTTGCTTATCAGTATAACCGGCACTGTAAAAAAAAAAAAAATTAGCATTACCACCGTCATCGCCCCAAGCGAAAGGTGGCTGTTTTTATTAGTAAAACCGGTTGGTTATAATATTATTATTTCAACCCGACCAGTTTGTTTAAAACGTGGTAGGTAGTTAGTAGTGTTTTGCAATTTTTATTTATTTTATATTTTGTTTTGGTACTTTTTATTATTATTACCGCCACCGAAGCGGTACTACACTGGTGTTATGTGCGGTGTAGGTATACTGATAGCGCAAACAAGCTAATCAAAATAATATTACAAACATGAAATAATCAAATTAGTTTTTAATTAATGCACCGATCCCATTAAATGGAACACGGCTGCGACTACAACCACATGCAGTCGACACACTGCGGTTCGGTTAAAAATGTTGTTATATTACATCATGCCTACGCGGGCTTGTCGTGTGGGCACGAGAACTCTCTGAATGGGTTGATAAAATAATTCAAGTCGCAGTGTAGGCGTAGGTCGTTATCGATTTGGAATCAATCATCATTACTTGAAAAATATTTTGTACTATCGGTCACACTAAACTTGATCGTAGAAACACTGAATAGATAAAAGCAGAAGGGTCACTTCCAATGTAAACTTTTAAGTGACGGACATTTTGTTAAACTTATTTAGTATTATGGTATATCTTTACACGACTAAAACTAATAATATTTACCTCTGGTCAGTAAATGAAATTCTTCAAAACATAATTTGATATGTAAATATATATATATATATATATATTATACGTATAATAAGCTGTAGAATATTTTGATAATAACGGTCCGTCGATAACCGATACACGCTCTGGCTCGTCTATAACAATGAGTGACATTAACGCGGGACCAGACTGTCAAAAAAAAGTATGAAGTTTACAATGTCGTCGGTTCAAGTTCGTTTTTTGATTAGGCAGGTGTGTATACAGATATTAATCGGTCCCCCGCTGTTGAATCGGTTATCGGCCAGCCTAAACGATCATAACCCTATATAAACGATTATCCCGACGTGTGCAGTAATTATAAGTGTTATAATGTATATTACGAACGCTATAATATAATAGCGTGTGCGATACCGAGTCACGACCTCGTGAGCATCTGATATTCGTTATGATATTATATTGGGCCACGCGATTCATTTTTTGTTAACTATTGCCCGTGTAGAATTTTTTTTTATTTTTAATCAAATTTCATGTCCATTTATCGATTTGCACAGCGGTCGCCGCTATTTTCCAACCTTTAGCCCGGATTTTAAATGTAATAATTTATGAACATATTAATTAAAACATTTAAAAACTAGTTCACTTATAAATCAATAGTTAATATTTATGGGTATAATGTCCCTGGAATTGGACTATATTTTTAAATATGACTTAAATAACATTTATAACATTTATTATTATAACATTTTATGTGCACGAACTTAGAAATGCTCTTTCAAGCAATATGCTACTGGAATAGTTAAATACAGTTTCTTACGTTCAACTGAACTATGATATTATGGTGGGGAGGAGGAGCGTCTTATATTTTAAGATAAAATATCAAAATTAAACAGCAGAATTATCTAGCTATACGAGCCTAATATTTTGACATTTAGTATTATATATCAAAATGAGTGTTTATTTAAGCTAATAATTTAAATCTTATTTGTATAATTCTAAAAAAATATATTTATTAGAATCCTCGCCGTCAAATACAATTGTGTAGCAATAAATATGCATAATATGCTATTTTCAAACTATTTATTAACCTTTGATTATTATAAGTTATAACATAATATGTTATACATAATACATTGAATATTTTATCAGCCTTCTTTACATATACATAGTCTTCTTTCATTTATATTTCATAATACCATAATTTTAATTCTTTAAAATAAAATATTGAAAGTCTAGTTCCAGATTTTTTTCTTGAAATCTGGTATTTTTTAACTAAACTTTGCAGAGTTATATATGTATTTATTTATTATTTACTAATGGCAAATTTAGGAGAGATGGCCCATTATACTGTAGCACAACAGTACAGTAGCTCAGTCCTTGCTTTTTTACATATATTAAATTTTGTTGACAATCCGTTAAAATAAATCGGTGCCTGCTAAGCCTCTTGAACTATACTATAATATGTATAATATTAACATTAGTATTATTAATAGGCGTCAGAAAGCCAACGGTTCGACATTCTTTCTCGGTCAAATCATTTTGGCGACGACAACGATGCCAGAAATAATAGTTCACTGTGACTATATAATAATTATAATAATACATTACTTTCGCGTGGGCCTCTGCGGGCAATACAGACCATATTTTGCTGTCCGTCACAAAATGTACCCAAGAATTCCTAAATACAGCACCCGGAAACCATTTGAAGAAATCGCTTGGCGTTTAATGGCGATGCTGCAGATAAAACGGACTGCGCGCGGAGTGGTTCTTAATCGCATCGCGAGGTACACCATCCGTCACTTGTGCACTGGTATAATAATATAATACTATATTACCGCCATAGATTATAGTTTCTAACCTGGAACGCACCGGGGAGCTGTACAAGTCGGCATCATAATACACCGCGAAGACATGTCCAAAGTCGTTTCGATTTTTAAACACCGTTTTTTTTTCATGTACCGGCCGTGGTTATAATGTCTTGTAAGAAGGTTCAAAAACCGCGAGGGTATCGCGGTTGTGTACGACACCGGGCTGGAAGCCTACGGGGACCGAAAAAAAAAACATAATATACCTATTATAATATGCATAAGTTCCTCGGGTTTTAGGTCACGAACGGTTTTTAATATACATATTCATGCGCGAATTATACACTTAAGACGACTACTGCACTACACGGTGTGCATCAGGATTTCGTTGTACAAAGGTACCGTTTGTGGTGACTAATGCAGTGTACCTACTTAAGTGTGTTGTATTTATTAAGCGGCGGATACGCATTTTTTTCATTTTTACAACGACGGTACATGTATCGCTGAAGAAACCTACTGTTTCGCTCTGGTTTCACAACCGCACTGTTTTTCATAATATTATGTTTTGTACCTACCTATACTTAATAATGCGATTCAATACAAGTTTAACTTGTACGCGGATATATACTTAATCTCGGAATTATAATTGCATCGTCCCTGTAGTGATGCAAGCCACATAATATAATATATACTATAGTCTGCGCTATTGTTAAAACTTAAAACACTTGCATAAATTATAATATCGAGCTCATGAATAAAATAGAAATAGGTACGACGGTGTAAAAATCTCCTAACAATATGGAAAATAATAATATCATACAAAATATTGTTATTTCCAGAGCAACCAGTTATCGAACACGGTCTTATAAAAAAATTAAGTCTGAACATAATTTTCCATTTGTTCGAAACGGTCACTCAGAGAAGGGGACAATTTAGTTCAGTTCTTATCTGATATCACAACTTGACCTAGTGGCGGTTCCATTTGTGTACAAATTGCGGATAAAAATTGAACGCCAATTTCGTGATATTATCTCTTAAGGGCAACGGAAAGCGTAAATTTGTTTACAATTAAGACTTAAACGCGAAGTCACTTTCTGTAGTGTCTACCCAACCGATTTCAACAATTCTTTTTTGTTATATAGTTTTACCTCTTTCTATAGGGGCTAATGTGGCGATTTTTTATTTTTGTTTTCAAAAAAATTGTACAAGCATTTATATTTTTACTTTTTTATAGTTTTTTCTAATAAATCTAACTAATTTCCTAATTGCTAAATAACAAAATCGGCTTTTTAGGCCCAGTAGTAGTTTTATTTTTTATCAAACTTTCATCGTAACTCGGAAAAAAATTATTTTAAAAGTATAATAACTAGAAAACTTAATATTTTTTCACCTTAAAATTAGTCAACACATTAAAAACGGCTTCTAGATTAATTTTTGTCAAATATTGCCTATTCTGTGCCCCTTAATAAATAGCGCTTTTTAAACATAAATACTCCACTTCTCACACATTCCGACGAAGAAGTCTGGTATTATTTTTCATTTAATAAAAACAATTTAAAGTAAGTAAAAAAAATAAGAATTTAGTCACTAAAATGCCGAATATGTGATATAGTCGGTTAAACTATAATCTTGTTTTTTTATTCGCAGTGAAACTTACAATTTTCTCTCTCTGTCTATCCTAATGTGTGGTCCATGCCTTGAGAAATTATTACTATTTTGTACAGTCTATTTTGTTAATATGTCGATGGTCCATTCCATTGTACATTACGAGTGATGCGTGCGTCTTGTGCAAATGTGCAAACACATACTTAAACAATGAAACTGTACGTTTAATGTTTTTTTGTGATGTCTAAATGTCTGTCTCTCTCTCACACTGGACTCTGACAAACGATTTGCAGATAACTACGCCCACGAATTTTGATAAAATTTAGCATGATGCGCACCGTCAATTATTGTTAATAGAAAGTCATCGACTTCCCGTGGCCCGCCGGAGTAGCTTCTAGGTTCTGTTCTTAGCATAAGTCTCCTCTTCGGGAATTGGCGTTCCTAACCCGCCAAAGCCTGACCTATATAAATAAAATGTACACGCTCAAGTGTTGTGTTCGTGACGAAACGGCCAGAGCACACCGCAGAGATTATGTTTTATACTATTATTATAACGGGCGAGCATGAATGAAACGAAACGAATATAATGGAGTGTATGGACACACGTCTAGCGAAAATTTCGCGTGTGTCTCATGTACACAATCGTCTTACGGCGACGGCGTCGGGAAAGAACATATGCGCTGCTGCGCCAGTTAGAGTTTTTTTTTTTTTTTTAACACAGCAATGGCTTTTCTGGTCACGATTGATCATTGTCCGCTGGCCGTTGTTCC